TGAATGTGGAGAGGTTGGAGGAGTTTCTGGGCAGTGATAGCTGTGACTCTCACGTCAGTTCGATTGACAGGGCACACATAGTGGCAACTCCAAGGAAGTTGTACCATGGAAGCACCATGGAAGTCCATGGAAGTTATACTTTGAGCGGTAATAGACAATTCAATTCAATGAAAACCTTCTCGCGCGACTCTCAAATAAGCCAACGTAGTGCTAAAAACCTTTGTCTTTCACCTTCCCCTTATTTTTTGACTCAAGTTAAGGGAAAATCTTAAAAGCTGAGCTTCCCGCTGTTCTTGAGCCAATCCCTTTAATTGTTGACACTATGCAAGCTGCCATCAGTGCTCCAAGTTACCTTAAGCAAGGCTGATCCTATTTATCGGAGATTAAAGCGGAAACCCTTTTTCGCGCTTCCGGATAACTCTAGAACATAAATAAGATTCGTAACATTCATCAGCTCACAGAAGTTTAGACAAAGGAGCGGCGATGATATTCATTTTCGATCAAAAAAGGTTTCTTAAGCAGCAGAAGATTTGACCAGTCCATAAAAAGTTTACTCCTTTGCATCTGTAACTGGATCAGTCACTCACAGCAGAACGAAGGGGTGGACAAGTTATGCTATAATATTGGGCCCATGTTCTGCGCTGGCTTGCTATGCAATGCTGCAGCACAAAACGCGAAAACACCGGAGGCCACACTGCGAGAGCCTCCAAGAAAAATCGTCACAGCAAAAATGTTGGAGAAATTTCACTATATTGTAATATTCTCTCGTAAATAAATAGGTGAGTGATTACGGTTGCTTTCCAAGGTTGCTTCCGCAACGTGCAGCCAACAGTGAGCACTGTGGAAAGAGTGGGGGGGGGGGGGCTCAGCCTCCTAAGTTTTCTGAGCGAAGGGGGGGGGGGGGCTCATGCCCCCTTGCACCCTGGCTGGTACCCCTATGATGAAGTGCAACTCAGTGCTGTGCTCGCTCAGTGTAAGCGTGATGTTGACGAGTAAACCATTATTTATGCCATTATTGCGCTGATCAAAACCGAAGCCAACTATTGCGTTACAAAAGAAGGAGCGCCTAGCTATCTAACGAGCCAGAAAGAAGCTCCACGTGGTGGTTTGTAACCGCATTGTGCGGCCACCCATTCGGTCTTGTAACAGACCACCAGATGCTATGTCGACACTCTTCATTGATTATATTCATCCGGTCAGCTTGGTGTCTGGGTACTTGGGCTACAACCTAAAACACGACAATGGCGCCATTTGCCTCTCCATACTCAAACTTTCTGATGCAGACTCTCTGTCCCACTCATCTTTTCAATGCGGTGGTGTACCTCTCTTTGAACCACCTTGTGGGTCCTCGTGGTGTATGTACCTCTACCATGCGCCCTCACTCCCTGTCAACAATATGCTTCTGGAACAACCCAAAGAACCCTGAGTTGTTTGTATTAAAGGGCCAGTCAATAGGCTCCGAAACGCTCAGGATAAGCTCGCGCATTTTACCTGCGCGTGACCAATCTTTTTCAACGTGCAGTGACGTCAACTCAGTGATCGGCGACGTGATGTAGCACGCAGCTTGTCGATTGGTCTAAACCAGGCATAAATAAAGAGTAACTTAGCCAACGTCGCCAATTGCCGAGTTGACGTCACTGGGTGTGGAAAAAGGTTGGTCAGGCAAATGAAACATGTACGAGCTTTTCCTGCGCGTTCTGGCCGAGCCAGTTGACTGGCCATTGAAGAAGTACTATTGCTTCATTCAACGTCCGCCATGCCGCGGTGGTCTAGTGGCTAAGGTACTCGGCTGCTGACGCGCAGGTCGCGGGATCGAATCCCAGCTGTGGCAGCTGCATTTCCGATGGAGGCGGAAATGTTATAGGCCCGTATGCACAGATTTGGGTGCACGTTAAAGAACCCCAGATGGTCCAAATTTCCGGAGCCCTCTACTATGGCATCTCTCATATGATATATGGTGGTTTTGGGACGTTAACCTCATATATCAATCAGTTAATTCAACATCGCTTTTCCTAGGACGAAACTGTCAAGCACACGAGTTCATTCCACATGGTGGCTTTTGAATCTTCGCGACTATCTCTCCGATAGATGCAAATGGTTTTTTTTCGGTGAAATCAACGTTCAGACACATACGCTCCGCTATGTAACGGCCCACAGTGCGCACATGCCAGGCCAATGAATAGTTACACCTTTTTGCGGCTTCACTATAGTTCACTTTGAATTTACCACTTCACGCTGCTACGCGTGCTCATAACTCGCCTTCCAGTACTGCTAGAATCATCCTTACCATGAACTCACTGGGTTTCAACCACTGCCTTGTGCTTTTCGTCCCTAGGACTGCGCGGGAGATTGTATATATCGGCATAACATTCCTACTACCAACTGCTAGATAGTTGCTCCCATCAATCACTTCGAAAGCTAGGCAGAAACTTCACCATTGCAATGTGCTCCTGCTAGTAATGTTGCCTCTCATTTCACACCATGTAAATCTACAGCACGGCGCACCTCGACAGCCACTTGTCGACCAAAGAATGTGTATTTCTGTAGGATGTCGTAAGGCAATTTAGGGTAATATAGCGCCTTGCACCAGAACACCGTGGCCGCGGCTTAAAATCATGAAATGAATGGCTTGAAAAAATCATTTATTCGATACTGGGGTATACATTATATGTCACTGCCAATTACTATGACTGGGACTGCACACTTCCCTCTGTAACACACGCTCAATGTACTGCAATCTGTCCCTAATTCCTGCTATAGGGACACGATTCCCTCGGTACGTTATGCGCAATACTTCCGTGCCCCGCATATGTGAGTGAGACGACGGCAGTTACCCAAGCTGCTAAACACTATGAGGAGGGCCGCTGGATTGCCCGATATCACATCACTGCTCGTTAGCAGCGCCAAAACACCATCGAGATTCCTCGAAGCATTTCAGTGTTGTATACGCGTGACACACTTCTGTGGCTTTCGATTACTTCAGCTGCACCCTGCGGTCAACGAAACTGCTTCCAAGTAGGAGGACCACCAATAACGTATGGTGCATATTTTCATATTGACCTGCTAAAGCTTTGCTATCTCAGCGCAGTGGCGTCGGGCAAGTAATTCGCCAACACGGACCTTTTCCGCCATGGTAGGCAGAAGTAGAGAAGGCTGTTCATGTATAGAAAAGGTGATTCGGTAATAGCTATTTGTTGATTTTGCTATTGCTGCTTAAACTTCCGTGCCTGTCATTGTTAGTGCTCTTTTAAACAATTCAATGTAGTATAAAAAGCTTACCTCATTGTTTTTTTTTGTTTTAATACGTATTGCTTTCTGGTTCTGGTACTTTGAAATCGGGCTTGTGAATCCCCTTCCCTCAGGTAATAAATACCGGTTCGGGTGCTGAAATTTATGTAACGAGGGATGTTTACTTGCTCCATTTCCAGAAGCGAAACCATCAAAGGTCTTGGGTGCAACGTTCTCGTGAAAGAGAAGTATGACAGTTGCACTACTGTGAAATTTCATGAAGAGCGCAGCCCAGACACCCAGCGATTCCCGTGCATGGGTTTCCCACTGCTCCATTTACCGAAGCGCCAGTCACGTCAATGCTTCAAATAGACTTGAAGGGTTTCTGTGTCACTAGTAAAGTCGTTTTACGCCGATTCAGAAAATCAGTATGTAGCAGGTGCACTACTTTTTGCTGTGCTTTGTCGACATCCTCCTTGTTACGGCAGTTTAATGATGCATGAATGGCGTGGATTTGTTTCGCCTATCAAATGTACATATGCAGTGAAGCATTTTCAGCGCAAAGAGAGAGGTATTTCCTCGCTCAGCGAGGCGGTGGCCCACTTTCTTGCACCATTTCAACAAAGATTTCAACGAAGTGCCTTATGCACCTTAATAGACAAGGATAGATCAAGTGGCGAAGTGGCACCATTTTTACAACGAGAGTGGGAAAGGGCTGTGAAGAGTGTTTCTAGTCGTACATCAACAGGCCCGGATGGCCATAGGGTTTGCTAAAGTTAACTAGAGGGCACTGTCCACTGTTGTTCGGCAACCATGGGAATGATGAGTAGTACACACATTTGCCTAGTCTTCGTACTTGCTGGCGGCGAATCGCATTCGCGGCTTCGTTTATTTCTGCGTTTCGGTTTTGTTTTGAAAGAAAGATTGAACCTTCTGAACTTCTGAACCTTCTGATTTGAAAAGTAAGTCTAAAAAAACAAAATGGTGAAGTGCAACCGCTGAACATTTGCTAATACTTGTTTCGTAAGAAAACAGCTCCAAGCCACACGAACACACACGGAGCCAAAAGCAGGCCAGAAATACGAATATTTGACATATGTGTGTACTACCCATCATTCTCATGCTCAGTGAAGCGCCGTGCGTTGCAGCTGCCATAGACACTAGCGCCAGAGTACCCTCTAGTGTAAATTAGGAAACTCTATGCTGATGGCATCTCAATCATACTGATAAGTGCATTGTGCTGTATTGGGGGCTGGCTGGTCCCGACGAAGCAGAAGAAGAAAAAGACGGCCGACGGAGACGTACGCGGCCGGCGGGGACCCCGACCAGCCCGAACACGCAACGCAGCCTCAGGGAGTGAACAAGGGTGCTGGCCTCCCACCGCATTCCTTGGGTTGACAACCGCTCCATCGAACACATTTGGTCTTCATTGAAAAGGCCCCTCATCCTCTTCTTTAAGCAGGACTTTTCGTTTTCGCTTTTGAGGTATCTCTTTCTTGCTGTGACCAATTTTCTCATGGTGTTCTCTTGAAGGCGTTCCAGCTGCGCTATCCGATCCAACAGCGCCTGCTGAGATGCTAAAAAAAGACACGAAAAGCCTGAGGCGACAAACCCATCGTATGCGTTACAGATCACCACAGAAAGTTGCTTACAGGCCTCCAGGTGCGAAGACACAGGAGGCACTCCGAGACTGGCGGTAGGCACAAGCTGGTGTGTGGCATGAGGGGAACCTGCACAAAGAATTATTGTTGCATACATTTCAAAGCCACACGTTAAAGATAGTGGTTACCATTAGAAACATCTTTGGTGATGAAGTGATTGCCACTGTTACTGGTGGGCAAGTGAAGGGGCTCTTCGGCTGAAAACAAAAAAAGACAAATCTTAGAACATCATCGTTCTCCTGAACATAGCTCCTCTTGACAGATGTTGAAAGCGAGGAAAAAGAACAAAATAGATAAAACGTACGTTCTGCAGTAGCCAAAGGACTACTTGAATCTGAAGCTGTGCTGTCACTGGCAATTGAAGTCACAGGAACAAGCGAACCTGTGGAATGCAAATCAGAAAAAAAAATCGACAAGCCCTAAACAAAGCTATCATTTCTCACCTGACAAAGCCACGTCCATGTGTGCCTGGCTTTTGCTGGACTGCGGGCTTAGTGGGACTTCAGCTGTAAATAAAATTTAACATAAAAACCCTGTGAACAAACAGAAGGAGCTTCAACATTAATCGCAAACAGCAAAACAAGAATCTTACGAGAAACCTCGGGCAGGCTTTCCACAGGCGCTATTACGCTTTCGTCGTCCAAACCCATCACTGCAAGTTGTGTCTGTTGCGTCGGCACCGACAGACTGGCGGAGGAGGATGCCGCATATTTCTCCCCAACGAACGAAGTTGAGGAGTTGGACGCAGAACCAGGCGATAACGAGGCAACATGTTCTTGACCGCGGCTACTCTCACATGTCCCGAAGTTCACCTTGCCTGCGGCAACAATGAAGTCATGCACTGAATGACACTCGCGCGCATTTATCCGCGCAAATAACTTCGGATAATATTGGCTACACTAATTCAAAACGCCAAGATAACGCATATCGATTGTAAATTATCAGTAGAGGTTATTGTCATTCCTAAGATCGCTCACCTTGGTGCAAGTGTGTGCAAATTTCGCATCTTTTGGCGGGAGGTTTTCGTTGCTTTGGAGCCGGCCGGTGCGAAAACAAAGTTGGAACGGCGTTTGGTTTCAACTTCTTTTTTCCATACCTCTGCAGTATCAATGGTTCGAACTGATCTTCAGTAAAATGGAGCTGCAAAACAATAATACGATTATTTGAAACTGTGGTATTCCGAACACTTCTCAGGTATTGGTTTTGACCCATTCCGATTTGCAAAAAAGAAAAAAAAGAGCTGAATGATAGCCTCAATGTCGTCCTGTTGTGATTTAGAAGTTCATATTTGCACATGAGCTTTAACCGGTTCCTCACGAATGGGCAACCCAAGTATATATACAAAATACAAATTTAAATACTGCGATATTGAAAAAGTACGTGTTGCTGGACATGACTAACATATTACAGTAAGCGGCTTTTTGTTTACTATAAAAAAACTTCTTTACAGAATGTCTAAAACAAAATACAGCTCTGCAGCAATTTTTAAAGACACGTGGAAAAAATTCTACCGAAATAGCACGTCGTTACAGACCAATAGAGAGGGGAAAATAAATGTATATATTTTTAAGAAAGCTATCTTAAATCCGCATTAAAGTTGCAATCGATGCAGAGGCGCGCATTTTGCTGTACCTCACTTTGCGGTGTCCCGACCGCTTCTCCGCAAACAAAAAAGAGAAGCCTGGTTTTGCAAAAAATAGAAATAGCTGTGAATGTGAAAGAGCGAATTCACCACATTCTATGAACTCCTCGTGCCGGCGGGGAAATACCAAAAATTATAGTTTACCTCACACAAAGAAGTCTTTTTGGTAGGCGCAAAGTCTTTTCTTCCGATATTGAGCAGCCGCTGCTTCTTGCGCTTGGCATCTCTTTTTCCCCACAGAATGTTGAACAGCGAGAATCCTTTTTCGCTTCTGCTATTACATTGATAGGCGCAGCAAAACGGCATTGCGATGATAAAAACAAGCGCGAAGAAGCAAGTGCGCGCTGAAAGTCGCCGTGGCGACAGGGCGGCAAATGGCGACCAGCGGAAAAAAAAGAAAAAGGCAAACAAGTTTGGCCCCCACTCGACGAGGGGCGGAGACGTCACGGTGACGTTTCGCTCCCTGCAGCCAATCAGGGCCCGCGGAAGCCTTGTCGTCTCCCATCCTGAGAGAGTGTGCGAGGAGGGAAGTGGCGGGTAAGGGAAACGGCGGAAAAGATCCAAGAAAGTCGCTACTTTCCAAAATATAGGGGCTTTATCCTCGATGCCAGAGCGGCGCTCCCTGGCATCCTCACATGTCAATCCGAAACCGAAACCCAGAACACAACAACCATCCCCTCCTCGAAAAATGTTCACCTATATACTGTTTATATTTATACATGATCGATACAAAAGTATATACAAGGTATGTACGTTAGAACACATGAAAATTCGGAGCACGGCACACCGAACTCCCACACTACGAGTCCTGAAAATGCACTGACAAACAAAAAAAATGTACACAACTGTTCGGAACAAGAGTTCTACATTACATAGTCTTCGAACCGACGGGGCTTCTGCCGCTTCCGCTTAGGGCGGGCCCTTTTGGGTGTAGAATCAGGTGTCTCTGCACCTTGGTCACTTCTGCTCTGATGTGACACATCAAGATCAGTGGAAGATTGTGAAGGCTCTGAACGAGCGTTAAAATTTGCGGTCTCATCAGAGCTCGCAGCATGAGCTTTGGAAGAATTTTGCGGACTGAAGTCCGGTTCAACGGTCTCAGCCGTATTTGAAGGTTCGAAGTGAACGGTATGACTTGGTGTACTTGAACCAGCGACACCGCCTGGTAACTCCTCCCCCCTTGAAGAAGAAATGCCTGTACATGGAGGCCACATGTAACAGTCTGATGCGTAGTTGATAGGCGTGGGCGGAACGTGATGAGGAAGACTTTTAGGTGTTGAAGGCGAATCCGCATGAAAAATAACAAGGCGCGAAGCATTCCAGATGTTACCATCACTTAAGCGAAAAGAAGTGGGGCTAACCTGGCCCAAGACTTTGTAAGGACCCCGATACTTGGGGCGCTTGCCTGGCACACGAACCTTGACTAGATTGCCAGTGTGACCTTTGGACTGCTTTGCACCTCGACGGGTGTCGACATACTTTTTCATTGCTTGTTGACGAGAAAAAACCCTGGTACGAATTTGATCAGGAGAAGACACTGCTATGTTACGAGGCAAAGAGACTATGTCGAGAGCAACTCGCGGTTGCCTACCGTGGAGAAATTGAGCAGGAAACACTCCAGTGGTGCCTTGTGGTGTGAACCTGTACGAAGCTAAACATTCAGTCAAGACTTGCTTGAGGGGACGGTGCTCTAATTGGGCGATCTGGATATGTTTCTTCAGAACGCGATTAAAGCGCTCGATTTGGCCATTTGATTGGGGATAGAAAACTGATGACCTCAAGTGCTGAATTCCTCGTTGTGAAAGAAAAGCCTCGAAATGTTGGGACTGAAACTGTGGACCATTGTCCGTAACTATGGCATCAGGAAAACCTTCCCGGCTGAAGATTGAAGACAGGAACTCAATGATGACCTCAGAAGTAACCGTATGTGTGAAACAAAGCTCTGGTCATTTGGAATAGTAGTCAATGAGAGAAACAATGAACCGGGCATTTTGCGGAACATTATGCAAAGGACCGATGATGTCCATGCCGAGTTTCTGCCAAGGCCGATCAGGTCACTGGACTGGCTGCAACGGAGAAAATGCAGGTTTGGCAGACTTGTCAGCTGCCTGATATATATGGCAGTTGTAAACTGCATGCTCGACCTGCTTGTCTAAGGCTGGCCACCAGTACCTGTCTCTAAGATTCTGTTTGGTGCGGACAATGCCAGGATGGGCCTCATAGGCAAGCTGTATTAGCTTGTTACGGAAAGAAGCAGGGGGAATCACGCGTTCATCGCGGAAAAGCAAGTCCTCGACACAAGACAGTTCCTGTCGGACTGCGAAGTAAGGCAAGAATTCAGAAGCAAGAGCACCTTTGGAAGGCCATCCTTCACGTGAATATTTGAGAACTTGAGACAAAGTGGAATCTGCAGCTGTAGCTGCCCGAAGCTCGGCTTTAGTAATGCAGGAAGTAACTAATGAAAGAACTCCCTCATCCCGCTCTTCAGTTACCGGTATCTGAAGAAGAAGGCGCGACAGTGCATCAGCAACCACGTTATTAGAACCCTTACAATGTTGAACACTGAAATTATAATACATGAGTTTGGCACACCAACGGGAAATGCGAATGGGGCGGCGGCCTTCAGATCCTGCAGAAAGAAGAGCAACTAGTGCTTGGTGATCTGTACGTAATGTGAAGTGCCGGCCCCACAAGTATACATGCCATTTCTCACAGGCAAAAAGACAAGCGAGAGCTTCACGCTCTCTTACTGAATATCTGCGTTCAGCAGGGGTTATGTACGAGATGCAAAAGCAATAGTGATCAGCTGATCATCTCTGAGTTGTTGAAACACTGCTCCCAGTCCAACATCGGACGCATCCTTCGTGATGACGATGGGAAGCTTCTCATTGAAAATACTAACAGCTGGCTTTGAGGCCAGTATTGACTTAACTTGAATGAAGCTCTCCTCAGCTTCAGCTGACCAGTTAAAAGGCTGTGCTTGACGAAGTAGAGTACGCAGTGGTTCAACAACATCAGCATAGTGAGGAACAAACTTGGCATAATAACCAACAAGACCTAAAAAAGATTGCAAGGTTTCAACTTCAGTAGGCCGTGGGGCATTGACAATGGCCTGAACTTTAGATTCAACAGGTGTCAAGCCGCGGGAACTGACATTATGTCCTAGAAATTGTAACTCATTCACAGAAAAAATGCACTTGTTATTAAGTTTCATACCACATTCACTGATGCAGTTGAGAACAGTATGCAAGTTAGCATCGTGCTCTTCGCGAGTACGTCCCCACACCAAAATATCCAAGTAACAAATGGCGCCATTACAACCCTTAAGAATAATTGACATCATTTTCTGAAACACTGCAGGGGCAGATGCAAGCCCGAAACACACGCGGCGATACCGAAACAAGCCTTCGTGCGATACAAATGTGGTCACGTCTCTACTGCACTCAGAAAGTTCAACTTGGTGATAAGCGGACGCGAGGTCCAGCTTGGAGAAACATACCGCTCCGGAGAGCTGATGAAGCAGTTCTTCAATGTGAGGAAGTGGAAACCCGTCTACGACGATTGCCTTGTTCGGTTCTCGTAAGTCGACGCATAGTCGAAGGGATCCATCTTTTTTCTTGATGACGACCAGTGGAGAAACCCAGTCGGAAGCAGAGACAGGCTCGATGATTCCGCTGGCTTGAAGGCGAGACAGTTCCGCAGAGACTTGCTCACGGAGAAGAAGAGGAATGCGGCGCAGCTTGGCACGCACAGGGCACACACCTGGTCGACCCATCACTTCATGCACAAAACCACGCACACAACCCAGTTGACGGGTGAACAGGTGGTGGA